AGGGGCAAAGCGACAAGTGGTTCTTCAGTCTCTGCTTCTGCTTTATTCCAGCCCCCATGGGAGTGAGGGGAAGACTCCAATCCACATCAAAGAGCACCACTCCCCTTTGATTAAAGGCACAGTCAGGCCAGCCAGGGTGATTAATATAAAGAAATAATGGGAGCTCTCTTTGCCTTGCAAATTAAAACCACGCCTCAGCCCTGCCTGCCTTTATGGGGATTAGGCAAAGCGAGAGGTGGATGTGGGGGATGGACACAGAGACTCAAAGTCTGGGAGAAAATTACTAGGCGTTCCCCTCTGCTCATTAGCATATGCATCAGTCACCCCGGCGGGAATGAATCCCAGCCTGCTTTTAATTACCTGGCCTGCGCTGTGTGTGGGGAAAGAGGGTGGAGGGAGGGGAGAGTGTCCTTTGCTTATTACAGATCAACCTCCGAATATTAAATCAATTTCCTGATTAGCCCTCGGCTCCAGTGAGTCATTCAGAGGCGGCCGTGGGGGGAGGAGTGTTGGCAAAGTTTGGGGAGAAGTCAGGGAAGGACTTTGCTAGGTCGTCATGCAATGGAGCGTCTCATGCCATGACAGAAGGGGATCGGTGGGGTTAAAATGGCCTTTCCTGCATGGAGGCTTAAGGTGATGCTTGGCATGGACCCAGGCTTGAAAGGGCAGGGCGGTTGGGGGCCTGGCTTCAGGCCAGAGCCATGCCAAGGCACAAGCACCACAGGATCTTGCTGGCTTGGGCAGCATCGCGGGGCATCCAGGGCCTGGCGGTCGAGCTGGAGGTGCAGTGGCAGAGTTGAGTGAGAGCCCATCATGGGAGCGGCAGGAGCAGCCAATCAAGAGCGAAGGGCCCTTCCCCCACTCTCCCTGGCTGGCTCGTTTCAAGCCTCGGGCCTCGCTTCTGGGGTTTGAAAACGAGTGGCCAGCGTGAGAAGTGCAGCGCGTTCTCTGGCCCCGAGGCGTGGCCCTGTGGTGTGGGGCTGCCACCGTGCCTATGGGCTGCTGCCGGCCCACCCGGGCACGTGCCAGCTACCTCTCTCCCCCGCTGACAAGCGAGAGGAGAGGCACAGCAGGCTCCAAGCGCGGTGCAGGCTCACATGGCGCATCCCCAGCTTTCGGCCCCCAGTGCTCAGGGGAGTTCAGGTCAGGGGCGGAAGGAAACGGATTCTGCTCTGAATTGCTGCTTGAGGAGAGCATAACGCCTGGGGACTCGCCCAGGGTCCGTGCCCGGAACATCGCGCTACACCAAAGGGCCAGCTCGCTGCATCTGACGACGCTGGTTTTACCCACACAAGCTGCTGCCCTGATAAGTGAGTTAGTCTTTGTGGTGCCCCAGGACTCCTCGTCATTTTAGCTAATTGGGGGTTTGCTTCCTTATCCTCCCAGAGAGCCGGGGCTTCACTCGCCTGCTGGAAAAGAAGCCATTTGATGTGCACACAAGGGACAGCCAAGATCACAACCCACAGGAACGTTAGATGTCAGCAAGTCACCAGGTCCTGATGAAATGCATCCCAGGATACTCAAGGAGCTGATAGAGGAGGTATCTGAGCCTTTAGCTATGATCTTTGAAAAATCATGGCAGACAGGGGAGATTCCAGAAGACTGGAAAAGGGCAAATATTGTGCCCATCTATAAAAAGGGGAATAAGAACAACCCAGGAAACTACAGACCGGTCAGTTTAACGTCTGTCCCAGGGAAGATAATGGAGCAGGTAATTAAGGAAATCATATGCAAACACTTGGAAGGTAATAAAGTGATAGGGAATAGCCAGCATGGGTTTATGAAGAACAAGTCATGCCAAACTAATCAGATAGCTTTCTTTGATAGGATAACGAGCCTTGTGGATAAGGGAGAAGCGGTGGATGTCATATACCTAGACTTTAGTAAGGCATTTGATACGGTCTCACATGATATTCTTATTGATAAACTAGGCAAATATAACTTAGATAGGGCCACGATAAGGTGGGTGCATAATTGGCTGGATAACCGTAGTCAGAGAGTTGTTGTTAACGGTTCTAAATCCTGCTGGAAAGGGATAACAAGTGGAGTTCCTCAAGGGTCTGTTTTGGGACCCGTACTATTCAATATCTTCATCAATGATGTAGATATTGGGATAGAGAGTACGCTTATTAAGTTTGCAGATGATACCAAACTGGGTGGGGTTGCAACTTCTTTGGAGGATAGGGACATAATTCAAAATGACCTTAGCAAGTTAGAGAAATGGTCAGAGGTAAACAGGATGAGGTTTAATAAAGAGAAATGCAAAGTGCTCCACTTAGGAAGGAACAATCAGTTCCATACATACAAGATGGGAAGCGACTGTCTAGGAAGGAGCATGGCGGAAAGGGATCTAGGGGTCATAGTGGACCACAAGTTGAATATGAGTCAACAGTGTGATGCTGTTGCAAAAAAAGCAAATATGATTCTAGGTTGTATCAACAGGTGTGTTGTAAGCAAAACTCGTGAAGTCATTCTGCCGCTCTACTCTGCACTAGTTAGGCCTCAGCTGGAGTACTGTGTCCAGTTCTGGGCGCCACATTTCAAGAAAGATGTGGAGAAATTGGAAAGGGTACAGAGAAGAGCAACAAGAATGATTAAAGGTCTAGAGAACATGACCTATGAAGCCAGGCTTCATGAACTGGGCTTGTTTAGTTTGGAAAAAAGAAGATTAAGGGGGGACATGATAGCGGTTTTCAAATATCTAAAAGGGTGTCACAAGGAGGAAGGAGAAAATTTGTTCCTCTTGGTTTCTGAGGACAGGACAAGGAGTAATGGGCTTAAAGTGCAGCAGGGGAGGTTTAGATTGGACATTAGGAAAAAATTCCTAACTGTCAGGGTGGTCAAATATTGGAATAAATTGCCAAGGGAGGTGGTGGAATCTCCCTCTCTGGAGATATTTAAGAACAGGTTAGATAGACATCTGTCAGGGATGGTGTAGACAGAGCTTGATCCTGCCTTGAGGGCGGGGGGCTGGACTCGATGACCTCTCGAGGTCCCTTCCAGTCCTATGATTCTATATCTCCCTTCCAGTCCTATTATTCTATGATTCTATGATCTCCTGAGAACCTGCCCAGCGCTCTGTTCTGCAGGCTGCACACGGCGAGGCGGGGCAGCTGAGAGCCCCCTGGAAGTTGGGTGGTTTCTAATGGATGGATAAGGCTGGATTTACAGAGCAGTGTCCAGTGATGTTCAAAGCCTGGACAGAGATTTGTGACTTTTATTGTTGTGTGTCATGGAGCAAGGCCCAACTGAGCAAGGGGCTATCCAAACACAGCCCAGTGGGTCTGCCCCTCACCTCCGGTGACTGCTGGGGAGAGCCAGTGTCCGTAGGATGCCCCCTTCATCCTTGATTGGCCCTGGCTGTTGGGGATGTGGCCCAGCTGTGGAGAGACAGATCCCGGCTCAATCTCATTCCCCCACACGCACCAGGCTCGGTCTACCCCTAAAACGTGGGTACACCCAGGACAGCTGCCCGGGGTGTGAAAAGTTCACCCCCACAGAGGTGTAGGGAGGCTGAACGCAGAGAACTTGTCTGTCCTTCCAGCTAACTGCAGAGACACAAACGTCTGGGGTGGTGGCGCATTCTAGTGTAGGCCGGAGGCTCTCACGCTTCACTGCAGCGTGACCCCTTCCGACACCAAACATACTCCATGGCCCCCTGAGCCTCGCCACCGGGGGCTAAAGGCCTGAGCCCCAGGGAGTCTGGATCAGCCCTCCTGACCCCACAGGTCCTGACCCACAGTTTGCGCATCTCACCCCAGCGGGGGCATTTATTCACATAGGACAAGGGGCCGGGGGAGGCCTGAACACAGAGACCAGCTGCTGGATCACGAGGCAGCAGCACAGGGTCCTGCAGCCTCCAGAGGGGTTCCAAGTTTCCCCGCCTCCTTCGCACACAGGGTGGGACTTCAGCACCAGGGGAAGGAACAGCTCCCTGAGCTGCTCCCGGGGGCTGGCCGGATCCGGGAACTGAACACGGTGCTGAGGTGCCGGGCTCACCAGCCCCTTCTCCATGGGCTAACCCTACGTTGCTGATTTCCCTGGGGATTCCTCTTCAGGAAGAGCAGTATTGCTTAGCCCACGGGCTTGCCAGGCAGAGGTGGCCTTTTCCTAAGGGGGGCCTGCTGTGCTGGGTGCTGGCTGGACACAGGAAAGGACAGCACCCATCCCACAGATCTCCAAAGGGTGGGAGAGAAAACACAAGGCGCCTAAGTGACTTGCCCAAGGTTTTCTAGGAGGACAGTGGCAGAGCCAGTCTCAAATTCTAATCCCCAGACCACTAGGCACTCAGCCTGGGGTTCCCCTGGCTACGGAAGGTGCAACCCCCCTTGCCATGGCAACCGCCTGTCTGCATCGCTGTGTTCCATAGAGGAGGAAGGCCATGAGGAGAGCAGGCCAGGTACGGGGGGGAGCAGCCCACGAGTCCAGTGGAAGGGAGAGTGGCCAGGCAGGGCCAGGGGAGAAGTCAGAGCAAGGGGTGTGGGAGAGTTTGTGGGACTTGTACCTCTCTGGCTTCCCAGAGATTGGGGGAGCAGATGTGTGGGAAAGGAACCCCACTCAACCGTGAGGGAAGGGGGGAAGCCACGTGGGGTGAAACCCAGGCCCCATTGAGGTCAGTGGGAATTTAGCCATTATCCAAGTGGGGCAGGTTCTCATCTCTGCTCTCCAAGTTCCCTGCTGGTTACCGTAGCGCGCAGCCTCCCTGGGTCTGGGACTGATTTTAGGGCAGCATTTCAAGGCTTCCCCTCTGGTCGTTTGCAGGTGAAAGACTCCCTGTCTCAGCTCCAGAGGCCTGAAATTGACAACGTGTGTTACCAACAAAGCCCGTAATTGTGGTTTTAATCTTGTGTAATTTAGCCCTTTTAATCTGTATTAGTCTGATAGGAAAATGTTCGGCCTTGGGACAAGGGCTAGGTAATTACGGCGTCCGCTGCGAAGATTAACAAATAACGGGTCCCAATCTGTGGACTTTAAACACGAACAATCACTGTTGATTTCAGTGAAAGCCGCGCTCAGTAACAGACCCCCCGACCATCCTCATCATCCGCCTTGTCGTGCAGGCCCGTAGGGATCGCCACAAGATATTGGGGCCCTGTTGTGCTAGCTGCTGCACAAACACATGCACCCCAAAATAGGCAGGTTGTTTATTATTATTATTATTATTATATTATTATTATTACTAATAATAAATAAACAGGTGGGTGTTTAACAGCTCTGCCCTAGGAATCGTTTTGAGAATGTTTTCTGTTATGCTGGAGGGCAAAGGAGACGACCATGAATCCCGTTACACAGTGTAATAAATATAATCATGATCTGATCTAGGTAATCCAGATTATCGTATTTAGTCCACAGCTGACGCAGGTTGGATTTCTAGCGAGTCCTGTCATGGGTCAAAGCTGTATTGTGCTAGGGGCTGTACACACAGACGAGGAAAAGACATTTCCTAGTATTGATTCTGTCACCCTCTGATTGACCAGCATGTTCCCTATGGGGCTGCATAAGGCGACTGAGGGTAGCAGCACAGCGCCTTTTGTCCTGGGTCTCCCTGCAAACCCCTCTGGCGTGTTAGTCACCAAGTGGTTCTCTTGGACGCAAAAGCTTCTTCATCCTCCCCTCAGATATGCAGTAACACGAAGCGGGCGTCCGGAAGCAGCTCACATCATCTGGAAGGGGCCTGAGCTCAGGCGCGTTTCCCAAGCAGCTGATTGCTATGGTAACTCATGCTCAAGCATGGGACAGCTCCAGGGAGAGACGCATCAGTTATCTCGCCCGGCCAAAAGTCAATCAACAGATCATCTGCAACAAGTGAGCGCAGTTCTGCCGGGTTCCTGACGTGACGGGTGGTTTCAGTCCGGCGCCTTCCTTTCTCACTGCTTTGCCCAGACACAAACCTCGGCATCAGTCTGCTTTCCTGTACGCCGGTGTCAGTCTGGGGTCACCCCTTTGGCTGAGTGGACTGACTCTGGTTTCAGTCCGGTGCGGGGGAGATCAAAATGTGATTTTAGGCGACTCTCGGTTTCGTGTTGCATCTTGTTTCCATTGCCAGCTTGCCCTCCGTGTCTGTTACTCTTTGCATGAAGTAATAGTGCTGGGCATGTCCATAGCCGCTCATTTTGGGAGGGGCGACTGTAGCACAGGGCAGTGAGGTGGCTGCCCTGGGGCTCGACACAGCTGGCATCCAGACTCCTTTGGACTCCTAAGATTCCCAGCTTGCCAGCCTCTCAAGGCCAGAGTTTAGCAGCCCGCTAGGTGGTTTTTCTGGGTGTGGCCTGATGTGGGTGCCAAGAGCCCAAAGCTGCGAAGAAAGAGCCGCTCTCAGCCGTGGGGTGGGGGAGCAAACGCAGCCCCGATGCGCAGAGCCGGTGACCCAAAGAGTCCGTGACAGAGAGGAACCCACAGTTCCTGAGCCCCGTAACTAGAAGCCCAGCCTTCCGAGCCTGACTTACGGCGCCTCTGGCCGCTGCAGGGGGGCTGTCTCTCAGGCTGCCGCTGCCATCCGGCAAGGGGTGGATTGGCAGTGCTGTCTGCTGGGACTGCGGCACCCTGGGTGCTCGCCCTGGCTTCTCCATCTGTAACTCCCTTCCTCTGCCTGTTACGGGTGCTGGGCTCCCCATGGGGGCTGCTAGGCCCTTGGCGGGACAGCCCATGGTTCTCTGTGCTGCCCTAAAGGAGCCGCTCGGTGAATCCCAGTGAATTGTGGGAAACTATCTGTCCTGCTGGACACACAATGGAATTGGGGGACGGCTCTGGAGGACTTACCAGCGCCCGAGTGCTGCTAGCTCTAACGGGGTGTTACCAGCCCAGGGGAAGGCAAATCTGGACTCTACCCAGGTAGCGATGTGGGCATGAGGGCTGCTAGGGGCTGTATCGGAGCTAACAACAGACCCTCAGTTTCCCCGCTGCAAAGCAGAGATAATTGTGCTCACCCACCTCTAGTGCTTGGAGACACAGGGAGGCAAAGTGCCCAGGTAAGTCCTAGGAAGGATTGTCAAAGGGGCTGTGTCCATGCAGCTGGCTGGGTGGGGCAAACACCCCCATGGCTCAGAGGGGTGTGGCTGGGGCTGCTCCGGCTCCTGGCCTGAGTGTGTAGCCTGCAGGTCAGGCGGGATCCCATTTGACCATCGCCAGCGACACCCCCAGGAGCAAGATTGGGGTGTAGATGAAGCTTGGCCTGAGACTGGGCACAGGAATTGAACTTTTACCCCAAGGGGGGGCACATTCCGTTACCCCCGCAGCAGGAGCTCACGCTTCCTTCCCACCCCAGGCCCGGTGGAAGCTTGTTCTTCCGCCCCCCGCCCCCCCCCCCCCGGCCCTGGGGGCGGGCTCCGGATTAGCAAGTGCCCCTGCTTCCCCTCCCCTGTGCATGCCTGAGCTGGGCCGAATGGGCCTCCAGTAACCTGGCTGTGTTGGATGGTCCTTGCAGGGTCTCAGTGTACTGGACAGACAAACCGCCACCCAAGGCTCACAGGTTCACCGTCCCTGGTAAGTCGAGTGTTTTGCTGCCTGATGGGAAATTAAACAACAATTCCACATGCCCTAAACGCAGTTCCCCCTCCCCTGTGCATGCCTGAGCTGGGCCGAATGGGCCTCCAGTAACCTGGCTGTGTTGGATGGTCCTTGCAGGGTCTCAGTGTACTGGACAGACAAACCGCCACCCAAGGCTCACAGGTTCACCGTCCCTGGTAAGTCGAGTGTTTTGCTGCCTGATGGGAAATTAAACAACAATTCCACATGCCCTAAACGCAGTTCAATGGTGAGTCTAGGACAGCGGGGGAGGGGGGCCCTTCAGCAGGCACCCCTTGCAGAACCGCCCTATCCCGGGAGACCGCCCTGGTTATGACAATCTTGTGGCCCCCTGAGATGAAGGAGGCTGCTCATGCGACTTACTCATGAGGCCAGGCTGCCCATTGCTGCTCCAGGGGTATGTCCCTGGCCTCTGTTCGTCTGGAGGTGGGTGACAGGGGAGGGATCGCGTGAGGATTCCCTGTTGAATTCCCTCCCTCTGGGGCATCTGGCATTGGCCACGGTCGGCAGACAGGACACTGGCCTGTTGGTTTGACCCAGTCTGGCCGTTCTTATGTTCTTATGTGGTCAGAATCAACCCAATGGACAAGTGCTAGGGCGGAGCAAACTTCCTTTTGCCCAATGTCCCCCCCACTCAAGCGCTGCACCTTCCAGAATCCAGTCGGGAATGCCGTCCTGTCCCGCTGGCAAGCAGGCAAGTAAAAGCTGAGTCATGAATAACCTCCTCCCTTTTGCTCCCCAATTCCTGCCGGACCAGGCAGAGAATGCCTCGCAGCAAAACATCTATTCAGGTTTTTATGGGCTGTTACACAGCTAACGCAATGTGAGTTCTTCAGAAAAAGCTCTGTGGGTCTCAGTTTACTTTTCTTCCTCCCCAGTCTTAACGCCAAGACAGGAAGAACTTTCTCGATCCAAAATGATCTACCGAGGATTTGAAGAAAACAGGTGGGGGAGAAATTGACTAGAAAGAATTCTGTGTTACACAGAGATCCAATTGGAAAACTGTTAACATTCAGCTGCAGGAACGTCCTAATGAATTATTTGTTATTCCCTACTTAAGAAGGCTTAGCCATCCACTGCGGAAGTAGTGAGAATGCCCCGTGATCTGAGGTCAGCAATCATGCAGCAGAGGGGACATCAGACAGGGCCACTGACGGAGTGGGGGGAGAACAATTGCTAACCCTAACCCTAACCCTTGCCAAAGCAATTTAACTACTGGGATGGCTCTTCATCAAAATCACTTAGGATGCATCTGCACTGCACCCTTAGCACGAAGTGAGACACGCAAATTGCAGATCTTCTTTCGATTCTTTTTCAAAATAGGCTATTTCGAAATTTGGCACCTCTACACAGCACCAAGTTTTGAAATAACACACTACTTCGAGACATCCCTCATCCCTCGTGCGACGAGGTTTACGGGGTGCTGAACTATTTCGCAATGGCGGACGTGTTGAAAAGACATGGGGTAGCTTTTCGGGATACATCTGGTACCCTGAAATCGCAGTGCAGTGTAGACGTACCCTCCAGGTGACAATTTTGTCAAGTCGACATCCCCTCAGGAAGCATGGATCACAGATCACATTTGACTTGTGAGCCAGTCAGACGGTGCAAGTGAAGCAGGATTGGCCAGTTTGGCAGTGGTATGGATGAGCTTGAGCAAACGCCTCCATGTTGCCAGAAATGCTGATTCCCCAGGTTTCTGAGTGGCGGCGCTGACCTCCAGCATGGTGGGGAGGGAGTGTGAAGTCAGGAAAGAGGCCCGTGGTCTGGAAGAAGCAGTCATGGGCTGCGGATTGTGCTGCTGGAGGTACTGCACACGAGGAATGGACTGCGGCTTGGCACACTAACGCTCCTGGGGGAGCAGGGTTCACAAGACATGGGGGCTGCGTCTAGACTGGCATGATTTTCCGCAAATGCTTTTAATGGAAAAGTTTTCTGTTAAAAGCATTTGCGGGAAAGAGCGTCTAGATTGGCACGGATGCTTTTCCACAAAAGCACTTTTTGCTGTGCCCATCTAGACACGGTTTTGCGCAAAAAAGCCCCGAGCGCCATTTTCGCAATCGGGGCTTTTTTGCGCAAAACAAATCTCAGCTGTCTACACTGGCCGCTTGAATTGCCTCAAGAACACTGACGTCCTACTGTCTGAAATCAGCTTCTTGCGGAAATACTACGCTGCTCCCGTTCGGGCAAAAGTCCTTTTGCGCAACCGGGCCAGTGTAGACAGCTGACAAGTTTTTCTGCAAAAGCAGCTGCTTTTGCGGAAAAACTTGCCAGTCTAGATGCAGCCGGGGTGTTAGATCCTCAGAGTTCTTGCCTGATACGGACTTAGATTCCTCCTGTTGCTTCAGTCACAGACAGCATCCTTCTTCCCGTCCAGCCATAGGGAGCTGTCTAGGGTTGCTGTGTGCTGTTAAATTGTGACCTCACTCGACTCCAGAGGTGGCTGCATTCCTAACTAAATCACCCCCTTCCTTCCCTCGCTGAACACAGGTCCATTCCAATATGGCCAGTGAGTGCCCCCTCCAAGCATACTGTGGCTTCCCCCAGGGTGAAGGAGCTGGCACGTCCAAAACTGGTCAACAGTGCCTGGAAAATCGACCGCCCTGTCTACACCACAGTATGTATTCGCCACAGTGAATCAGACACCCCTCTGACCGCAAGGTTCTTCATATTTGACAGCATCCTCATTGACAACAGGGATGTTGATCTGTGTGTGTGCGCATAGGCGTGCCCAGGTGCGTGCTGGCTTTTTACTCGTTTGCCTGCGTTTGCCATTACAGTTTCAACCATCAGACTCTGCAGTCTCCATTTTCCTGCGGCAGGGCGGGCCACAGGTGGAACTCCTCTTCCACTGATGATTTTGGCCTTGATTCACTTCTGCTGCCTGCCTGGTGCATTCATTTGTACCTGTGCCAAGTGGGTGTGAAACTAACTACTGACAAAAACAACAAGGAGTCCTGTGGCACCTTAGAGATGAACATTTATAGGGCATAAGCTTTTGTGGGTAAAACCCACTTCCGAAATTACAGCAGCAGGGGGATATATATATATAAAGTACTGGTATAACAGAAGAAGGGTGTCACGTAGCAAGTGTAGGCCCAATGTCAACGAGGCCAATTTAATCAGGGTGGATGTGGCTCACGCCCAACAGCTGCTGGGGAGGTGTGAATACCAAGAGAGAGGAAATGGCCTTTGTAGTGACAGAACCATTCTAAGTCCTTATTCAGTCCTCATTTGATCATGTTGAATTTGCAAATGAATGGCAGCTATTTGTAGAAGGATGGCTACTTTTAAATCTATGTCTGAATGTCCAGGTGTGGATATACCCCTCCCTCCATAACTTCCACTCCAACTCATCGGACAAAGTGGGTTTTACCCATGAAAGCTCATGACCTAATAAATCTCTAAGGTGCCACAAGACTCCTCGTTGTTTTTGCAGATACAGACTAATACAGCGACCCCTCTGAGGCTTGTAATTACTTACAGTAGCACCTAGAGGCCCCAACCGAGATTATACTAGGTGCTGTACAGACACATGGTGAAAGTCCCTGCTCCAAAAAGCTCACAGACAATAGGGTGGGAGGGGAAACTGAGGTACAGAGTGATGATGGGATTTGTCCAAGTCACACAGCGAGTGTGCAGCAAAACCAGGGTAAGCACCCAGATTTTCAGATTCTCAGTCCCAAGAGGTTAGCCTCAAGACCACATCACCTCCCCTTTCTGGTGTGGTATTATTTGTATAGCAGCCAGAAAGCCCAGCCTTGGACCAGGTTCTGCTGTGCTAGGTGCAGCGTTTCACACCCACTCTGCACTGGCAGGTGCAAGCCAGTGAAGAATCGGGCCCTTCATATCCTGTCGGAAGAGAATTAGGCCATAGAGCCAAATAACAAAGAGCACATTAGCTGTTAACAGCCACACTGAGCATAGCAGACAAGTCACTGTTTCTACAGGGCCCCCAGGACGCAGAGTGCTTTGCAGACAAACCCCAAGAAAACAATCTCTGTTTCACATTTGAAAACCTGAGCAAGTCCCTTTGCAGCTGACTCCCCCCAGCTTTGAAAGGGTGGCGTATTTTGTGGGAAGGAAAGGGGCTTGCAGCAGCTGGCATGTCGTCATATCCACGTGTAGCAAAGTTTCACGTCACATACATGGCTAACGGCTGCATTCACGTGACGTCTGCTGCTGTTTGCCCAGCGTGACTAGAACTGTGGACGTGTGCAGCTCATGGTAATTGTCCATTTGTTTTCTTTACTCAGGAAAAGTCGGTGCTAAAGCAACATCTGGTTTTTTTGTTTTTATGTTTCTCTTTATCCAGGTTCCCATTTGGGTGAGTTACTTACCCACTCCCACATAGTAGGGCATTGGCTCAGCGTAGCACCTCCAGACTGCTCTACGATGCTTGTGTGTGTGTGAGTGTGCAGCACTGCTTTCTGCTAGACAGAGTCAGAACTGCACATGGGTGTGTCATAGGCCTTATTCTGCTTGGTGATACTTTCCTGTAGTGCTAGTGATGGGCACCCGCACTGCTGCAGCACATTGATCTGAGATCTTCCCACACTGAAGACATCCAATTCCAAATGACCACGCTATGTGCCATGGGGGAAGTTCAAAGCCATTAAAAAATGCTTCATTTCTTCAATTGATCTCCAGCCAGGGCAGCTGGAGGAATTCAAAACTGACTTGATCCTAAGCATTTGGGTTTCAGGTGAGCAAAGGAGCGAGGACTGCTGTGACCCGAGAACGAACCATTCATCTGGCTAAACCAAAGAAACGGGACTTCTTAGCCAAGATGGACGCCTCGTCCACACCTCCACGGAGCATCGCACAACTCACCAGGACTGAACACTTAGCCCGTAAGAGCCCACATTCCCCTCCTTTTGGACACTTACAGACCTTTTGCCTCAAGATCGGCCCTGCTACGTCCCAGGGCTGTGCAGCAACAGAAATCTCTTGTAGAGAAACATCTGGGTTTTGGGAAACCAGCTTTCCAAATAAAGGGCATTGTGTCTCCCCAAGGCTGCACAGCTTCTCTGGCCTTTCTTGGGCTCTGCAGAGATGGAGGAAGGGCTGCCTGTGTCACTGGGCGATAAGCTGGCAGGGATCGAACCCAGAATTCAAATCAGAGCCCTCGCTTTCTCTCAGCAGGTGGTAAAGAGCTCTTCTCCACTCCACAGCTCTCGGCAGCAGGTGGTTCGAAAATGCCACCTCTAGAGTTCAGGATGGATCAGTGTCTGTAGCGCTAATGCACCATACCGGTGCTAAGGATTAGTCCTGTGATGAGGAGCATTGTCTAGTGGTTAAAGCACAGAACCAGGAGCGTTGGACAATCCAGGTTCTAGCATGAAGCTCAGCCATGGTGTCTGACCTTGGACCCTTCCCTCATCCACAAACTAGGGGTAACACACTTGTCTCCCTGGGGCACTGTGGAGCTTAACAAATAAAGGCTTGTGAAATGCCTTGAGATCCTCAGAGGGAAGGGGCTAGCGACAGCCCGTGGAATGCAGAAACCTCAAGACATTTCCTTCAGATTAAAACATGAAGCATATTCCTTTTCTTTCCCTTCTGCTCTGTTCTCATAGGGCCGAAAACGGAACACCCGTCCTGCCTCCCGGACAAACCAATCCGGTGGCCTGTGTCCACGGGCGCCAGGCATGCCGTCAGG